GCTGAGCTGGCGAACGGAGCTGCCGGGCAAAAGCAGGCCCGCGGNGGGTTCCGCAGCGCGGGCGGGCGTGCCCCCNCCGCGCCTCGGGGCGGGGCTGGGCCGAGGCCTCGGGGCGGGGCTGAGCCGCTCTCGGGCCCGGCTCAAGGAGCTGGCACCCGGGGTCCACGCGGCTGCGCCCCCGGGCAGGACTGCACCGCAGGCTGGCGGCGAGCAGGACGGGGGAGGCCGAGGGCCGGCCCCGCTGCAGAGCCCCTACTCGGCCGTGGCCTCGACAGACGTGGACGGCTCGCCCCCGTCGCGGTTGCCCAAGCGGTTGCAGCGGACGGGGTCGTCTACGGCGGAGCGGGAGCAGGACGCAGCGGCCCTGCGAGCCGACGCCGGGGGTGCCGCGGCCAGGAGCGCGGTGTCGTCTCCGATGCGCTTCCAGCAGGCGGGGGTGCCGGAGTGGTGCTTCTGGCCCGTGGACGAGGTGGTGCTGCCCAAGAGTGCCACGCTGGCCGACCTCAAGCGCAGGATCCTGGCCCTGCCGGCCTTCAAGCGCGCCAGGGGGGCGGGGGCGCTGCCGGCCCTGACCGGGCTGCGCGTGCGCGAGGTGCGCGGGGCGCCCGAGGCGCCGCAGTTGGGCAGAGAGTACCGCGACCTGGACACCGACCTCGCGCAGATGGGCGTCGCGGAGGGGCAGCACCTCGCAGCGCGGTGAGTGGCAGGCGCAAGGCGAGGAGGCACGGCCAGCAGGGCAGCGGGCATGGGCTGCAGATCGAATTGCGCCACCCTGGGCAATGACTGCGCAACCAGACGTGGCATCAAGGCGTGTCGTCTGATGGTGCTCGAAGGCTCGTGGCATTCAAGAAACGGTCATCCTGACGGGTATGAATGCAGCATCATCCCCATAATCTGATTGTGTCCAACGTGACGTCGCTTCTTGCCTGTCCAGTGTCTGGCTGCCCCGTCATGATAGTGCTCGCTTCGCATGCGCAGGATCCTGCCTCCCAACGAGGAGGCCCCGCTGTCGGACTGCGACAGCCTGCCGGAGCTTGTGGACTACACAGAGGACGACGGCAGCGGAGGAAGCGGCGCCGCCACTCACGCACACCAGGCCCCCGAAACGGCAATGGCCGAGGCGTCGGCCGACCTCGACCTCGGAGAGGCGGCTGCTGGCTTTGGAGCGGGGGGTGCGGGGCTGGAGCTGCCCACGTCGAGCGGGTCGGGTACGAGCGGGGGGGCACGCGGGCGGGCCGGGCCGCGGCTGGAGCGGGGCAGCACGAGCATGGAGGTGGCGGTGGGGGACG